CTTATATATTGACCTGTAAAAAGGGCTTAATCGAAAGGTCTGTTTAAGTTTTTGTTTTAGATAAAATTTATAGGTACTGTTAATATACAATAGTAGGATTAAATCAAATATAGATACATAGCTAATAAACATATATATAAAAATTGCTATACTTTAATATAGAGAATATATAAATATATTTATTATTTATTTATTTTTAAAATTTATTTTCTAGTTAATGTGGGTGGCAACACTAAAAATAGTCTCTGGAAAACACTGCAGTTCTGCGCATGTTCTAAACTTGGAAGCAATTTCTCTTCAATTCACCATATTTGGCAAATAACAACAAACTTAAAATGTTCGACCTCATGGACCTCTTTGAACAATAGCACATCGTTTTCCACAGCTATTCCATCTAAACAAACACCACCCACAAATGGCAATAAGCAACACCAGAGTAGAGCAGAGCAATTTTCTCACAGTATTTAATCGATTTTCATTTCTCGTCTCGTAGATTTTTACTTTAGGAGTGCAAATAGGTCTTTGTTGATGATTTTCGTATAGTTTGATTCTCTTTTAATTGAAAATGTCACGCTCTTTAGCACAACTCCTGCCATAGCATTTAACCTTCCTTGCTAGAGCCTACTGGGAATGTGTCAATAGCAGCAGCCAAAGACAATACGAATTTGGCATTATTTTCCCTTTTCCGCTCCTGTGCAATACCAAATTCGAATATTTGGCAGCAGAAGCAACTTTAAGCCACTGCGATTTTGAAGTCTTTTATGTCAATGGCTCATTGAATTTGTCGTCTACCACTCCTTAAAGCATTACTATTTGGCAGTTGACTTAAGTACTGAAGTAACCTTTTTGTTGTTGTATTAGGTACGAGTACACGTAATTGGTATGTGTTGAAATTTCAAATTTTTGAATGGTTAATAATGTTGCATCCATTCGTTAGCTGTGAGCTGTGTGGTGTGTGCCGTGCTTACTCATGTGACATGTAGGAGTTCAGTCCTTAGCTAACAATGAAAGGATAGTACACTGCAGGGACGAGCAAAGGATTTTGAATGAAATTCAATGTACTAAAATGGGTTTTAACGTTTATTTGTTTTTTTTTTTTTCATTTAATGGAATATGTAATGTGACCTAAAGAATACTAGTACACTTATGTTCGTTAGATATTTGTCAGAATGGATTTCGAGACTGCTAATAAAATTCGTTTAAGGAGTCATGTCAATTGATATTTGATATCGCTAATGTCACAATTATTTTAAATATTTTGTAATGATTATTTGATTATTAACTGAATAAGTTAATTTATTTTTAGCAAGTGTTACGTGCTCACAGCTACAGAAGAATATTGGTTAAATTAGTTAAAAAATGGGATTAATTCATATATCTCCAATAAAAGTCACATCTCAGCTAGAAAAAATTAACATTAGAAATATTCGTTCTTGTAGAAACAATATTATAATTCAAGACTAAAATCGGATTCCTTGGATTCCTTCCTTATTATTATAATTATTATTTTTTCCTTTCCAAATATCTACATTTAGATATAGAGCATAAAGCAGAAATAAGCTCCTTCTAACAGACTCAGTAGCAAGAAAATACATATATAAAGGTACTACCACAACCGTTGAGATGCATTCGGCTTCGTTCTTTCACGTACATATAATTTTAGGCCTTCCCCAAAAAAGAACAATGGAATCCATTGTAGTACCATTCTTGCTATGTTTTTTTTTCTCTGAGAGTATGGCCAATCCTTTGCACAATTTTTACCTTTTAATTCTATTTGAATATATACACTGCATATTAACATTAAAAGACTTTCGTAACGTATCAATTTCGGTCAAAATATACCACATATTCTTTAATTTATAGACTCTTAGTTGTCTGAAAATATATTTCCTCGTTTTTCATGTACTGTCGCCATACTTAAGATCGGTTTTTAAATTGATATGAAATATTTACAATTCATCATAAAAAATGATGGGTCTTACAACTTTTAAGGTCTTTATCTAAAACTTTACAGGAAATCTATGTTTCGGTCTTCTTATGGATTAATTTACTGAAGCATAATTTCGAGGTTTCAGTTTCATATAAGATTTATATTTTTTTTTTATGATGCACTATTTTGTCAACACTTTCTTATATCAAGTAATAAAAAAACTACTAACGAAACTTAGGAAGACAAAACTCGCAAATTGTATAATTTTATACGATTCCGTAAATAGCTTCCCGTGTTAGTCGCGTAAATCAGCTGTTCATATAAACTGAGCTGCCATTTCAAGTTTGAATAACTTCCGCCATTCTGGAGCTGAATATATTATGACAAACTTCGAAAACTATGCTCTATAATAAATACATTAAAGTAATGCGATCTCTATACTGCATCCACGTCGTCATGTGGTATATCGTTATGTGATGAATTCTATAGCACTATTTGTATACCTTGTCACGAGAAGGTACGTTTATACTTCGAGCACCAAGCTATTAAAAATTTATTAAAATATTTTATAAAATCAAACAAAATAGGCCTGTCCGAAGAGATAGATTGTAGACTCTGCCTAGAAACAGACGAGACAACCAGCAACTGCACAGCTTTGATCTGGGCCAGGACGAGGTCGGGAATTGCTCTCCCCTTCCGACATTAGGAGGTCCTCAACGGCTGACATTTTAACCTTCATCCGGAAAGCGGAATGTCTTCTGTTCAGTTAGGGTCTGTTGTAGCACTAAAGATCAATCATGGTCGCAGTGCTCTGCTCAAATGGGAGCTAGTACGCCGTTCTACCTTATCTTATCTTATCTTATTTTATAAAATCAAAATATAAACAAAATATATAAGTACGTATTACTACCAAATTTTAATTTTTCATAAATTTTGTACTCCAAAATATAAAATTCATATTTGAGACGTTTTAAATTCTTCTAAATTTCCTATTATTACATTTTATTTTAATATTTTGCATATGTAACTTTCTGAGTGATAACTCCAAAAAGGTCAAAAAATTAAAACATTAAGCATCCTTTACAAATTTATTTGTAGAAAATTATTAGTAACCTGCCAATGGATTGCTTATATTTCAAGTACGTGTACAAAATGTGCTGGGCAGGCTTATTTCTCCAGTATTTACTGTTATTATAGGTAACAGTGGAAAAATGTTCTTAATTTTTGTACCATACAATACATATAAACATAAAATATGACAAAAAAAAACTAATATTGAAGATTAAAAAAAAAGATTTTTATGAAATCAAAGAAAGAAATCAACCTATAGAATTAAAAAAAATTACAAAAAGTTAATGACTCTTCGAGAACTGCTACGTTAATGCTGAATTAGATGTGCCATAAGCAATCAGTTGATCTATTTAATTAATAGGTCTGTTCCACGAGCTACTCATAATAGACTTTGAGAAACACTGTGTACACACAAGTGTGTTTCACCAGGAAATTTTCAACTAAATGTGAACATCTGAGTGAGCGTAACATCCCTGTCGTAATTTAAAAATTCTACACAGACTTTACTAGTACATTTTATTTTAAGTCCAATTTGTGTGATGTGTGAATCAGTTGTTTTGGTATGAATTTAAATTTAAGTATTGTTTATTTGCGCGACACTGGTGTTGATGAGAACACCAGTACAGCTGTTTTAAGTATTGCCAAATATCCATCATCAGTGGTCTTAGAAATAATTCTTGTATTTAATTATTTTTTGAGACTTGTTGCGTCAACCTGATGTTACTACAGTAGTATTAGCTGCCTTGTATGACATGGTGGCTAGCCCGGTATGCTCGCCGGTTTTGGGAAGTGGTTCTTGGCTACAAGTACTACAGCTAACAACCAACAAAAAAAATCATGTCAGGGCAGCTAATACTACTGTAGTAACATCAGGCTGATGCAACAGACTGCCTAAGTACCAGATATTGAACTCGTGTCCTGCCAAATTTGAAGCTCAGAGTCAGCGTTCCTTAACCAACTGACCCAAAGCCCTACTTGAATTTGTTAGTGTGTTGTGAAAGTTTTATTAAAAAACTTACTTGCTGTGTTTATATTAGAACGAAATCATAAACCAGCTGCAGAATAATTGCAGTCTCAAAAAATTTATTTACGAATAATTAAATATGAGAATTATTTACTTCTATAATAATAACAATTTCGAAACTATTTTTTGTTTAGCGTATATATGTTGTGATGATTATGCCATTCAAAGCCATAATCAATATCTTGACGAATTAATTTTGTGATTCATTAGAAACAAAAATTATAAAAGAAGCAATTTAATCAGTTTTGTGAGAAATAAACTAAATTTACTATTGCATATTCTATCAAAACCATATATCTTAGTGGAGTATTTGCAAATTCAAAGTCATAAGAATAAGAGAAATGATTTACCGCTTAGGCAAAAATTAATGTAAACATCGTGAAAGCCACAATTGCGAATTCATTCCAAATATACAAAATTATTGTAAACAATAAGAAGACAAAAATTTCATAAGAATTTTTCGTTAATATAACGAAAATATTGAAGCTTTTGTAAACATTCCATACGCTACAACACTAACTTAGATGGTAAGCTTAAGCTTGTGCACGGGCTTAAATAAACAAAAAAATTTTCTTAAAAACAAAATCAAAATTGTATAAATAAATTTATTTTAACGTACTTTTGTACTTTATAACGTCTGAAAGCATTTGAAAAAGCAACCCAGTTCTGGGTTTGTCTTTTCTTGTGTTCATTTCGGTTTAATAAGAAACGTATGGGTACTTCGCGCTTTTCATTTCATTCAAAAGCAGTGTCAAAGCTAACTCTTCACATAGTTTTTAAAATTTAGTGTTTAAATTTTGCAAGAAATCTGAAAGTATAGTAAAATAATAATAAAGTGAAGTTGAAATAAATAAAGGTAAGTATATAAAATAAGTTTATAAAATATACTACAATTATATACAACTACAATTAGATAGCCAAAGTATGCTACTTATGTGTATATACTTCATATCATTTCAAAATTTTGGAGAATTTTTTTTTGATATTGAAGAATAACTAAAAGAACGATCTGATAAAAATGGATGTTATAGGAAACATAAGTAACATATGTAATCAAGAAAGTAATGTAAATTACAAACAGCTTTTGACCGATTAGTATTTGATTTGATACGTGTTTTGAAAAAACTTAAATTGATAAATTATTAATTCTAAATCATATAACAATTTAGTGGACTAAGAAGATCGTAAACCTGTCTGCAGCATTCTTGAAAAATGTCAACAAATTACAATTCTTATAAAATGGAAAATTCTGTTTCTCATGGAAATCGAGAAATAAATGTCAAAAAACGTCTTGATCATGTTGTTGAGTCAAATAATTTCCAAATTATGTCCTCATCGCATTCCAACAATTCAGATGATGGTGGTGATGATGATATTGGTGTTGATGATGATGATGGTGGTGTTGATGATGATGAGAATGGTCATGCCGCTTCTAGTTCCTTTGTTAATAATGAACTCTATGAATTACGAGGGCAGGATTGGTCACAATTTTTCAATTTAATTAAAGATGAAAAGAAAGCTATGGATAAACTCCATGAAAATGCTGCAAATTACATGCAAAAGTCCTCATTGTTATCAAATCAAGTACATCGATTAGATAGCAATGATATGCATAATTATGGCTTAAATCCAAAGAATACAGCAATGGATATGGTGGTGTGTAATCATTGTTCTGGAGTTTATAAACCAAGTGGCTTTAAAAATCATATAAGATTACGTCATCCAAAGATATGGGATATGGAATCTAATGAAGCTATAAAAGCTTGTATAGAAAGTTCAAAACAATTTGATGGAACTGATATACCATCTCCAGACACTACATCAACTTGGACGATGGATATAGATGAATATTTAGATTTTTTATCTCCAACGAAACATGAAATTACGCTACCAGAGGAAGTTGCGCACAACAAATTTTTAGCGAGTTCCAGTAAAACATTAATAAGAGATGAAGTTTTCCGTAAGAAATATAAAACCAGAGAAGAACCATATGGTAGTATATTTCCTGGTGTAAGTTCATCCATTGTTACTTCAACATATTTAAACTCGAAAAATAATGAAGTTTTAAATAGTTCTGATAATACACTTTTATCTGCAGTGGAACAATCTACTCCTCAAGATACTACAAATTACTTCATAAATTTAACAAATATATCGAAGAAACCAAATGATTTAGGAAATAATTATGGTTTCTCTACCAAAGGCAACAATACGGATTCTAGTTTTAGAAATCTTGAACCAACAAACGATATATCCGTTAACATAAATAACACTCGTCCTGTTTCACTAATAAAGTCAGTTACAATGAATAAAAATAGTGATAATATTTTAGATAACCTTTCATCAAAAATGGCAGAAATTATTTCGGATGAGGTTTCACTAGAAATGCCAGTATATAGTTTGGATATGAATTCGTCAACTAATTTGTCATATGATGTTTTAGATATTAATTTGCCAACTGAAATCCCATATGATAATATAGATCTAAATTCGTCAACTGATAGGTCAGAAAATATTTTAGATATTAATTACTCAACAGAAATATCAGACGATATTTTGGAAACGAATTACTCACTAAACACGGTTAATGATTTTTTGGATATGAATTTGCCACCGAAAATTCCAGTTTACAGTTTCGATATGAATGAATTTGCAGCTATCTCAAATGATAATTTGGACCTGAATTTATTAGATGAAATGTCATATGGTATTATAGATATAAATTCGTCACAGGAAATGGATATGAATTGCTCAACAGAAGAACCAGACAATATTTTAGTAATTAATTGCTCACTAAAAAAGCCGAACGATTTTTTGGATATAAAACTCTCACCAAAAACTGCAGAAGATATACTAGATAATGATTCGTCACCTGAACAATCAGATGATGGTTTAGATATAAATTGGTTACCAGATTTGCCTGAAGAACTTATGGATATCGATCTGTCTGGTATTGAAACCACAAAAAACATGAAAGACTCAAATCCTCATGTTCAAACCAATAACCCTGAAAATAAATATATTATGCCAGAAGATTCTGTAATTTGTCAGTTAAATACATTTCAAACTAATACACCCAAAATGTGGAATCATTTAAATATAAATACCTTATTACATAATCCAAGTTTATTTGTTAATCTAACAAGAAATGATTCAAAGGCAACCTGTTCAGGCATTTCCAGTAATTGTGACTCCCATAGCAGTTATGAAGAATCGAGTACCTACTCTGAAAATAATACTTTAAGTATTAATCCAACATCTTCAGATTTTTGGTCTAAATTAACTTCATCATATCCAACATTTTCCGACACAAATGAGAATGACTCAAATCATATGGACACATTATTAAATGCAGTTAAATCATCACCTAATCCACAATCAAACTCATACCTTCGTAAAGATTGTAAACCCGTACGAAATAGACGTGCAGCTCTCATACCAAAACTATCAAAACAGACACGAAGCCCAGATACACATAAACGTATAAATGATTATATAAAAGGAAAACAGATTCAAAGAAAAAATATTTAAAAAAAGAAGAACCAACCAAGTTAACCAAAAAACAGTCAAAAGAGTTTGGAAAAACTGAAGAAAACCTGGAGTTGACGAGACACTAACACTAACCTAATGAAGAAGTAAGTAAAATGGATTTGTATATGAATATAACGAACACACCTTGTACATTCCTTTTTCTGTTATTAATTTTTCAGACAACTTAAAATACCAATATGTCATCACTTTTATCTAAGAGTTCTTGAAAGATTTTGTGGGTTGGAGTATTCTAACTGCTTTATAATATCACTCTAACGTCTATCTGGATTTAATACGTAATAATGCCAGGAAATATAGCTGTATTGCTAAAAATATAATCTTATAGTATTATAAACTCTTCCTTTAAAAAATTATTTTATATATCTCTAAGTATACTGGTCTATGTTTGTATTTTTCATCCATCGGTGGAATGGGTTTCTCTTTTAGGTTTTTTAAGACAAGAGCTTTTTTATTTATTATTTTATTATTATTATTATATATATATATATTATTATATATTATATTCATATAAATTATAAATTGATTAGTAAAAAATGTGATAAATTTTTGAACTTTGTTTCTGTCTTTCTCTATTGATGGATATAGTAATATTCTATTCGAAATTATATATCACACTTACGTGTTAAAATATGTATTAAATATTAATAAATAATTTGAAAATTAATTTGATATCAAATTTTTCAATAATACACTTTAAAATAATTAATTTTTTCATTCTTATTTAGTCGCTATTGCCCACTGTGCAGTACTCCTCCTGATAATTCAATGCTCAATGATGTTTAGATTACCTTTTCACATTTATTGATTTCACCCTAATTTTACGCTTCTATGATTACTGAGGCTTTCATCAGTAAGCACACAAGATGATAAGGCTAATCTAATCTTTCCCAAAGGATAAATAAAATTTGAAGTGGAGTTTAAATGATGAAATTAATTTTTGATTTACAAAGGAAAAAATTTTGGATAAGCACTTTTTGTAGGAAGCTTAAAGCTTCTGTGCTATATACAAAGTACACTATTACTATTATTAATATTCCAGTTATTTGTTATTACAATTTATATTATATTTATAGTGACTATGTATAGAAAATAATATAACTTCTTTAATAGATTTTATTGTATTCCAGTGATGTATTAAGCAAAATTATTTAAACCTGATAAAACAGAATATATTCTAAGATAATTTCTATCTAAGTTCTTCTCTCATAACAAAGAGTTTGAACATATTCCCATACTATGAGCATTAGAACTCTAAAATAATAATTATACATATTTTATAATGTATTCTATATTTTGACTATCTTCGTGAATTATCATCAGGATCAGGATCTAACACAAATTAATATTCATAAAACTATATTTACGTCATCCTCTTTATTCTATTGTCTATATTGCCAAATAAAAACAAAAAAAACAAAAAAAAACAAAAAAGAAATATATATATTAGGTTGTTCGGAAAGTAACTTCGTTTTTTTGTTGAAGTACATCATTCAGTTTGTCTTGCTGATGACAGTAGACTTCCGAATTAATCGTTGTGTTATCCGGTAAAAGCTTAAAAAAACGATTCCTTTAAAATCTCACCAAACACACAACATCACCTTTTTTTTGGTAAACATCGGCTTTGGAAGAAACGAAATTACTTTCCGAACAACCTAATATATATAGATATAAAAACCGTTATAAAAAAATAGGTCGAAAAATAAATTCAAAATTTTATTTTTATATATAGATGATTATCAAAGTGCAGGATTGTATATAAAATATATAAAATATCGTTTATAAAAATAGATCTAAAAAAATCACTTTTTAAGTCTATTGAAATATATATATATATATATCACATAGCCAATATGTTAATTTTAATTAGCTATATATAACTATAACATTAATCACGCTTGTCCTCTCCCTAACTCCTTTACAGTTTTCTATACCATTATCCTTACCATCACCTTCTTTTTTAGTTATACCATTACTGGTTTTATTAGTGTTAATTGTACTATAATTAATTCTATTCGTATTTACTATTTTCTAGAATTAACGGCAGAATGGATAAAAGTGAAGTACGTACAACATACTACAATGACTAGGTCTTTTGAAGTCAACAATATATACATATGTATATACCACATATATACCAATTGAACTAATAAAAAATATATATTTATGTCTTATGCCATTTAACGGATATCAGGATAGAGCAATCCCACCGTGTTTTAAATATAAGTGAAGTTTATAAATTTTTATATAAGTACTTTTGAGAAGTTAAATAATACAAAAAAATTATTAAAATAATTTCTTTATATATGTATTTTATATTATATGAAAAACTTTGAAGTATAACACTTGAGTTGAGTATATATTGCCATATTTTTATGTGTATAGAGTGACTCATTTTTAATATGTAAAATATTTTAAAAATTTACAAATTTGATAAAAATAAAAACAGAACTCCAAATTCATCGAACTGTATTAGCTCGTAAGATAAAAATAATTTTATCTTTCTATTGCAATAGAAAGAGGTATATTACAAAATCTCTGCATAAAAATATTTAATATTAATAAATATTTAAATAAAATTAGTTTAATATTACTTAAACACTTACTCATTTGGTCATAAAATCCCGTTACTGGATTACCGGCTGACGCAGCATATATTTCCATGGCGCGTCTGCTGTGTGCGCACCTTCTCGAATCTCATACATCAAATCCGGTTAGTGTTCCATAACCTTGAACGCTCCACCAGAGACACGGTCTATCTGTACACCAAGCCACTGAAACCGCTTGATATTAATTCGCTGAATTATTTCAATGTCGTAATGCAGCTCACACAGTTCGTCTACTCGGATGCACTAGACCTCCCCAACTCATAGAAAACCAAAGATCTAACGAAGAATTTTTCTCTCGAACACTCAGTACAGCTTCATCAATCTATGATAACGGCCATGCTTTTGCGTCATACAGAAGCACAAGAAAGATGAGCAACCTATAATAAGTTTTGTTTGAGAGAGAACTCTATTGCCTATTGAACTACTAGTAGCACCTGTTAGCAAAGGTGATTCTACGTCTGATCTTCAAGCTGACATTATTGTTGTTCGTAATGGCGGTGCCAAAATAGATTTGTAACGTTGACAGATTCAAAAGCATAATCGCCATTTACTTCACCGCTAAACCCATTCATGCAGATTCCTTTTCGATAGTAGCAAAGGCAGCTACAATATCGTACTTGCTACGCCCTACAATGTCAATGTTTTCAGCGTAGCCAAGGAACTAAATACATTTGTAAAATATTATTCCATTACGATGTACACCTGCCCTGTGCATCATCCTTTCGATGACGAAATTGAAAACATCACATGATAAGGTATTACCTTATCTGAAGCCTCGCACGATATCGGAGAGAGAGAGACGTGATTTGGTTAAAGAGTTAAGCGGCAAAGAATTCAGCTTATACATCAAATTTTTTTTTGTGTACGAAAACATACGCTGTTCGCGGTACCAAGTCACATGCGTACCGTGGCTACGACAACTGGCCTGTGCCGATATTTGGACTGTGCCAATATTTAGACTACGAAACGAACGTACATCCAGCTCACTTTATTCGTGTGTTGCGTCAATCGCGTAATGAATCTGGTTTTGTGTTGATTGATCGAGAAATAGCCATGTTGTCTTATAAATATCGCGATGGAAGAATCTGGTACTACATAACACCACGCGAAATCAGTCAGCCTCAGTCCGTTGTTAGAGGTGAATTCATGGAGGCTGAATTTTCCGACCGTTGAATCAAAGATTTTCTCTCTTATCAGCTTTGCGTTAAAATTCCCGAGAACAATTTTAAGTCGTGGGCAGGACTGCGGTCATAAATTTCTTCGAGTCTCGCGTAAAAGGTATCTTTGGTCAAGAGTGTTCTGTCAGTGCGTGAGCGCAAATTAGGATGATGATGAAGAATTTTCACTTGATGCGGATTGTAGCAACTTTATGTTCACTTGTGTAAATCGTTGGATCGATTTTGACAATCTCTTGTTAACTACAAAGCGCATCCAAATTCACACCTATTTGTATGGCAGTTGTAGTAGATATCACAATTTTCAAAGTATTTTAAAAACTAGATACAGATCTTCAAATTCATCCTTCTGTATAAACTCGCAAAATAAAAATAAAATCTGTATTGAAGTCTATTGTCACAAGCCTTACAAAACCATTTAATAGAAGAATTAAGTAAAATCAAGTATTAAAAATGTAATCTAGTAGATGACATAATTTATTAGTTTAATAAAAAATGACTATAAATAAATAAATAAAATACAATTTAATAAAAAACAATTTTTTCACCATTTTTTAAAAACTTTTATTTTGATCTCATTAGTACTATAATAGAGTTCAATTAACAATAGTTAATTACGTAGAAACTTATTAATAACAATATTAAATTGCATTTTATTTTTTCAATATTCAATTATTAACTTTCAATATCTTATTTGCAGTATTCTCGTTTTAATATTTGATATTTAAAATTAATACACATATATAATTATTTGTTATATAAAATTGTATCCTTAAATTTCTATATTATAAAATTGTTTATAATTTTAAAAGCGACTTTAAACGTTATTTTTGTTCGTGTGTTTATTTTTAAGTAAGAAAAAAAAATATTTGTGTAGAAAAAAATTGAAAAAATTATTTTCTTAAAATTAATTGTGTTAACATAAAATTAATAATATTTGGTTAATACGAGTCTTACTTAAGCAAAATGTTATTTGAGTTTAAAAATTAAAAAATTAATTAAAGAAAATTATAAAAATGTTTAGAAATAAAGTAAATATTTAATATGAAAATCGTGCTTATTTAAAGATATATTAGCAGTAGCTGCACCAATCACTGGATTTTGGCAATTATTTAATATTAGTTTTAATTTAAAAATTATAATATTGGATTTAACAGTAATTTTAAAAGTATTAATGTATAAAAATTTTGTTCAAAATATGAATATCATTTCAAAATGGGGGTGCAAAAATTATGTTAAATTAAAAATTTTGAAAATATAATGTAAATGTGCTGTGTTTTTTTTATAAAATATTTAATCATCTAAATATATAAAGTTATAAATTTCAAATTTGTTATACATAAATTAAACCTTTTAAAACAAGGTAAATTGTGCAGCATACAAAATATAAAATGATAGGAAGGATGCAAAATATTTTGGAATTTTATGAAAGTTCAGTGTGCAGATCAAGTATGCGTACCGCTTCGAATTATTTTAAAATTAACTTAAAAAAATAAGTATGTAAGAATAAATAAGTAAGAATATTTGTAATTAACATTTTTTTATATATTTTGATAAAAAATTTTAAAAATTAGATATAGTATATTCCTGATAGTCCAGAAAATCATGTTTCAAGTTTGGTCCAGATAACCGAAAGATTTTTTTTCACTATTAATATAATAAATTAATACATGAGTTTAAGAAAATGCATTTTCAAAACGTTTATATAGCGTTTATAAAGCTAAAGTAGAAATTTGATTATTTCTATACTGTTTTTTTTTTCTCGGATTATAGTATTATAGTGAACATAAGTGCGATGACACATTACCGCGATAATCAGAATATTGAGTGTTTGGATTATCAGGAGCATATTATACCATTTAACAATTTTTAAAAAATATAAATACTAACTATGAATAGAAAAAATGTTTTTAAAAATAAAAACAATTGTGGAGATTTCGATTTGAAAAGAAATTTCAGTAAATTTTAATATTTAGCGAACTTTTTTCACTACGCTATATGCAGACTAGCTTGTTTTCTGAAATATCGCGCTTTAAAGTTATAAAATTTTTGCATTAATTACAGTAAACTGTGCTCAGCACATTTTTTTTGAACACTCAAATTTATAATCAACAACCAGTAGACGCGAAAATGGAATATGGGGTAGTGGAAAAACTTACACAGAATATTGAAATTTTCCAAAATATAATCGGGATTAAATGTAAATATTAAATAATTATGTTTCAAATTTGTAAGTTTTTGCTGTACTTGAAGCAGACTCATAATTCTTAAGTTCGAAATAAATCCGGTACGCATTGGTTACTTTAATACACACTTGCAACAGCACATAATCAACTAAAAAATAGTTCAAAACTAACTTATTTGAGTCCAACTTGTAGAGATTAATTATACTAAATATTTAATTTATAAATGAACTTTAAGAGATTCCATACGTCCGACAATACGGCGACTTAATTCTGCATATCTACAAAAGAAAATAAATTAATTTAAATTAAATGTTTTTCAAATTCACTATCATAATTACTTTTCTTTAACTTTGGTAACTTCACGATCTAATTCCTGATCGTAACGTTCTAAAATTGCACGACATTCTGGTAGTGATAAATTTAAAAATTGAGCAACTTCATTACTATAAAGATACATTATTACTGCAATAATCTAAACAATAGAAATTCATTTGATTTTTACCTGATTTCATCAGTTTTTCTGGCATCTACAAGAAATAGACGCGCCACATCTTCATGTGGACCCAACATGACACGTGTTATTAAAGGATACTCCAATTCTTTCAAACGTTTCTGCTCACCATTATCACGTACAATAAAAAGTGAGAAGTTTTCAGCCGGACTATCGACCTTATATTTTTCAAGCACCAAATTAATAACTTCCTGTGTAGTTACCAATGATGTCACCCATACAGACATTTGAGAACCGTACGGAGGTGTGAAAAATGAAGTTTCACGATTGTAGAAATGACCGTTAATAGAACAGCGGCGCTTCAATTTCGTACGTGATCTATAAGAAAAGTTTATAAACGATCATTTACTTGTAAATTACATATGCATATGCAAAGTGTTTTACCTACGATTGCCGCTTCTACGTTTAATAGCAGCAGCACCTGTTCTAGGCGGTCGGCGTAATACCACGCCGTCTTCTGTGATATGTAATGGTTGTTCTTCACCTGCCATACTATTACCATTTACGGCCACATCACATCCATTACTTGCAGTAATAAGCTCCTCGGTTTGTGTGAGTTCATCGCCAGCAATGGCACCACTGTTCGTAATTGAAGGAGCATCAGCACGGCTTGATTCACCTTCACTTCCAGCTTCTTTACCGTAACAATTCATCTGGATTTGTATATAACGCTGTGGTACATCACTGCGTCGTATAGTAGCTATACGTTGTGGTTTTAATGTTGAATCATCATCGTCACTGTCCGAATAATCAAAGCAAGATGGACCAGATTTTGACCTATTTATACCCTTCTCAAACAAATGGCGACCATGATAATATGGTGAATTTGGCTGTTGACTATGGTGTGTATTTGTAGCCGAGCCACTCTTTTGCAATGCATACATACGCTGTGCAGAATGTGGATTGTCATTACCACTCTTTAAATTAAGCGTATCGTTAATTAGGCTGGCATCTATAGAACGCAAAGCATGCTCACAATTAAAACTTTTACTCATTTGATTTTCACCATAAAGCTTAAGTGAATCATGTATTCTTGTTGGATCAATGGGTTGATTTTTTTTCAATGAATTATCATTTGGCTCTTGGAATGAATTTGCACCATTAACATAATCTTGATGTACACTACGCTTAAAATCTTCAAAATCCATTGGTTTAAGTGTCGCATCATCTGATGTCATATAATTATCAACAGTCGTTGTAGTTGTTGTATCCGATGTATTATTTGTTGCTGTAGGCATAGAAGCTGTTGCAGTTAAAAAATTATCCGAAGACGTTGATGTTGATGTTGTAGTTGAACTAGAAGAACTATTAGTGTTGCTGCTGTTATCATTTATACTGGATGTAGTAGTTGTTGCCGAAGAAGCTACCTCACTCGTGACATTAGTGCTGTCAGTACAATTTTGTGCTGAATTAGTTTTTGTTGGCGAACTATCAGTGGAAGACTGTGACGATGAAGGTAATTTTACTGGCATCGTTTCATATATTTTATCTTTTTCATTAATACGACGTTCAACCTAAAAGAATTAAAGCATAAATATTTCAAAGTAAACGTATACCAATATATTAAATATTAAAAATTACCTGCAGTAATTCATCGATATCATCCCAGTCCAATTTTTCCAAATTTTCTAATTTCGATGGTAAAGTGTTCGAAACACAACTAGTGGAAGCGGTAGTTAGTGATGTCGTATCGGAACCGCATAAAGTCGGAGTAGATTCTGATGTTTCTGATACTTCTACTGCTACACCATTTGGTACAGTATCACCTGCTGTCGTAGTATTCGCTGAGGCTTCTTCGGGTGTTGTTGGCAATTCGGAAAGTGGATATTCATTTAAGCTACACGAATCAAATGTCATACTCTCAGATAACGATATATCTGTGGAAAGACCATCTACTTCGCTAGTAGTTGTTGGCGCATCAAATGACTCACTCACATCATTTTCTTTATCTGATGTCATGTCCTGCAATTATGTAAAACGTATTCAATTGAGTGATAACTAAAGTATGATAATATGTACTCACATCTGCATTATTCTTCGACATACGATAAGAATTTCGTTTTCGTACAACAAATGTGCGCTGATCGTCGTCTTCTTTTAAATGTATTACCCCTTGCACTCCCCAGTAAACCCGCAATGCTCCTTCTAATATCAGCCGATTATTGACTTCACGGCTGCGCACTTCCATACTTTTATTGTCATAAAATTGATTATAAACCTGTAATGTTTATAAAAAAAAATCAAAAATAAGGTTTTGCTAAGTATTTACATATGTTAGTTGGGAACGGTGCAGAAGAATACCGTATTCACTTAATCTTAAGTGTCTTTAATCTTTAGAGGTGTTTTAATAATGAAAGGAATAAACTTAAATGTTATAAAAATTTTTTAAAGCCAAATCAATACTTAACAAAGTCAAACTGATCTCGAGTTAGTTCAAGTCTTATTCTTACGTTATTATCAATATTAATGCGCTCATAAATATTAGTTTTTTATATGACAATAATACTTGACGATGTCAAGCTGATATCCAATCAGTTCAACTTTTGCTTTTGTGTCATCATTAATAAGATACTCATAAATATTAGTTTTCTATACGACAAGACTTGGCGAACTCATCTGATCTCTAATGAGTTCAAGTCTTGCAAGACTTAAAAAACTCATCTGATCTCCAATTAGTTCAAATCTTGCTCTTGTGTTGTTATCATTAGAGCCGCACTCTTAATATTGCTCTCTTCTGTGTATATAAATTAATTATAATTCATTATTATTATTTTTATTTTCTGGAAGAAATCCCAAAGCGTTCTTTAGGTACATGAATATACATTTCTGAATTTACCCATGGAGTAAATGAAATATTTGAAATTCTTCTAAGTTTACCCATGGAGTAGACGCACTCGGCTTATAAATAATTTTATATTATTATATATAATTAATTTATCTTTTATAATGTTATCTATCTGATATATTGTATAAACAATAAAGCTACACAATGATACAAAAGCTGGCTTCATGCCCAGAAAAAAATGAAGCGCATGTTTAAAAATTGTATGTGCATTGGTTATTCGCCCGTACAGCTGGTTTTACAAAACTTGCGGTTTAAATATCTTGAATAATATTGAATTTCTTGAATACTTGTATTTTCTTCTGCTTTTAAATAAAAATTTATTAACAGAATACTATAAGAAACCATTCATAAAAGATCAAAAACAAATTTACCTTTAATTTCGATTCTAAATGATCTCGCGGCAAAGTTGGTCCATTATTACCTATATTAGGCCGTTGAGAACCTTTTATGCCATAACTTTTATGAGATTCCACACGAGTGCCATGTCCAAAAAGTTGTGGTCCAAATAGTGCACCATAACACGGCACATGGCAATAAGGCACTCCTTTATGCTAGATAAATAATTAAATAATATAAAATTTTTATAAAAACATTTTTAATATTCCTTTGTCTACCTCAGCATGTTGACCTGGATTTAGACGTTTTCCGCATTCCTCACATCTCAAACATTCGGGATGCCAATCATAACCTAGCGACTGCTTACGTTCCGCTGTTGAATATTGAAAGAAATAATTATTATAATTTATTGTATACATTTTGTATTAACAAAATATACCAAAATAAACTGGCTTTCCGCACTTATGACACTTCCACATAATTTAAGCTGCTTTAGAATATAGTTCCAGTTTAAAGGGATGTTTAGATATAATTCTCTGTAATAATCGCTTACGTGAATTTCCACTTTTTGCACAATTTATGTTAACCACTTTTAAATGAAATGTATTGTATAAAAAAACCATAAATATGCAAATTAAGCAGCTATTTAAATATGAAACGCAAAAAGAAAAAAACTAATGAAATTGAAGAAAAAACTAGACTGGCACTATTCGGAGCAGAGACATTTTCTGTTTTTTCTGTTTAAAATTTTCAAGGAACTAAATACTTTAAAGTCGAAACAATAGGCACATTATTTGCTAGGGTGTTGTACGCGGTTCGTGTTTAGAATATTTAAACAATTATGGGTTATTTTTATTTAATAATCGTTCTTTTTCCAGCGGCCAAAATTGAACTTTTTCAATTGTTCGCAGCACCTGCCCACTCTCGGATTTAATTTTATTGTTATTTTTGTTTACTTTTACTTGATCTTGTTCTTTCAATTTATTGATACTTTTTATTTATTCAAATATTACATTGTCTCTCCAAAATAATTGAGCAGCACCGAAAAAATGAAAAACGAGCACCAAATCAAAAAACAACTAAGAATAAAGACAGTGGAAAAACTGCCGCGGCTGATTCTGTTCTCTTTTCCTTTCTTTTGTTCTTGTTTTTATTTGATTTTTATCAATTGTAAGTTCTTTGAACCGTTCACAATAGAAACATATGATTAAAAATAAAAACCAGTGGCGGATATTAAAAATAAATTATAAACAGAATATACAATAGGTCTGTTCCACGAGCTATTCGTAGTAACTTTGAGTAACACTGTGTATACATAAATGCGTTCTACTTTACTACGAGTAGCTCGTGGAGCAAACCTAATATATATTCAGTTATATACAGCTGAGTACGATAGTAACTCAGTTCAGAATAACGTAATATATACGAAATAGATAATTCGAAAAACCTTCACTGAAGATATATTTATAAACTTTTAGAAACAATTTACCAATAATCTAATATTTATATAAAAGAAAAAATTACTGATTGACTAATGTCGTTTTCGATTGTGTATATTTGCGGCTCGTTTATGTAACTTTCTCGTTTAGTTTTCTCGAACGATTTTTCTCAAAATCGCTGGAGCAACGAGCCGCTGGAGCAACTTTCTCAATAAAGAATAATTTTTAGTGCAATTTTCATTTCGAGATAAATTCACTCCAGATAAATTTATAACACTCCAGATATTTTATCAGAGTAACAAGATTACCATGCACTTAACAGCTGTTTTATATGACTTTACATATAAGGTATGACTGTCTTCAATTAGGCAACAAAATTTGACAGATCGAGTGTAATCCAGATTTACTAATTAAAAACGGCAAACATATAACATTCACATAAAAATGACAGTTTAATAAGTTAAAATGTCAGAGAAACGGTGTATATAAATATTATAGTTAATAAAACAAAAAACAATTATAAATATTTCTACGAAAAAGTCAATAAAGATTGATTGGCAGTGTCTGCTACTTCATAAAATATTTAATGTATTCAAAAGAGTTCGTTAATTCAGTAATATAATAATGGATTATCGAGCCATTAGGTTTGATGGTTTTTTTAATTATTTGTTAAACATCAGTTGATGCTTAATATTATGAAGTATTGTTTGAAATTTAATTTCAAAACCAAATTTTAAGTGGTTAAAAGAATAATAATTCAATAATATTGAAGATATAAAAACTTTTTCAAACAAATTTTATTTATTTTAATTTTGTTTACTCTGTTTCTTGAAATCTTCCTGTTTCTATATAAAATAAATTAATTAAAAAGAAAACCAACTATTTGGACAGCTCAATTTTACACATTAATAGAGAGAGAATTAAAAAACTGCGTTCTGAAGTTTGTAATTTTAATATTATGTTTAGACAGCCAAATTTTCTCAATTTCGTGAAAATAAAATTAAGTTAATTTCGAAAGTGTTTATAAAGTTTTTTATTTACAAATCGAATGTTAAAAATTACATGTTTTAAACACCAATTGTATCTGGGAAATTTTAAAAGTTAGTTATTATAACTGTAAAGAATGGTATTTAGTAGTTTTATTAGCTTTATTGGATTTCAGGTATGTACATTATTATTTTTCACTTTATTTTAAATTAATAACAGTTACTTTCAAAATATTTTCCCGGTTTGAACATATTAAAATCAACTGTCACTGACATTTACTTTAAAAAAATTTTAATTTTGCGTTATCTTAACTTTATCTTTTACTTATAATTAATCTTACGCATAGTTGCATTCGAAATATCTCTTCTTTTCAACGAATTTAAAGTAATTTTCCTTAATTTCATTCTAACCTTAAAACTGAATTTTGTATGGAAAAACAACAACTTTATTTCGCTGAAACGAAGATGAGTTTAAGATTTTTGCGAATTTAAGGTGTGTCTGAACATAGTGTTAGATTCACGACATTAGTTTGATAAATCATTTGAAATCGATTATTTTTCATTTATTTTTGAATAAACTTTTTGAATTTCGTTTGTATTATTAATTATAAGCATATTGATAATACAAACACAAGTATTATATTTCTATACAGTAATATACGTATGATTTTTTTTTAACTATATCTACATATTCATAAATATATATTCTAATTTACATACGCCTATTAATTCCATATTTTCATAATATATATACCTATAATTATATTTGCACATATTAAGAATTGTACAAAATTTTATACACTAAAAAACACATGACTTGCAGATAAGCATTTAATATTTTTTTTTTGCTGCACAACACCCTGTACATAAAGATAATCTCTCTTTACTAATTCGCAAAAAGTCAGACCGATTGGCTGCCGACGTTGGTGAAAGTGTCAGTCTAAATTTTAAGTGTTTAGGGTTTGTGTGTATTTTTTGTAAATATTTTTAGTATATTTGTTATAAGAATAAATAAAATCAAAATATTCTATTAAATATGTATTTAATATAAAACATAGAATGTGCATAAGTGAAAATAAAAAGTAGTGGTTCCATACAAATTTAGCATTTTTGCAAAGAAGAATTAAAATAATTTATGTTTGTGGCGAATGACGTGAATGGAAAGAAGCAACAGCTGAAAAAATTCAATCAATTTTGTGCACAATTGCTAAGCAGCACTACAGGAATTTAGTGTATCCATTTGCAAAGCATCAGCGGGCAAAGGTTCAGGAATTTATGTACGATGAAAACGACAATTGATTTTGAGGAATGTCTGAAGGATTCACCCAGGTTTAGGTATGTAAACGCTGAAGCCAGCGGCGGGGCAATTACGCACTTTTCATTTGTCAATATTTGCTGTCGTGGTGGCTTTCGCTAGCCAAGCGAGATTCGATGGAGAGACGCGAAGTGATAAAAATTTGTCGTCATTTATTTAATAATTTTACATTTCCGGACCGTGTTCGTGGCTTATTTCCATTTTTAACGTTTTTAACTTATGTGATATCAATGTCAGAGCTGATGGCTGATGTTAGCTTCGCTTATTGTTTATTGTTGATTATTCATCAACAAATTCCAATGAAAATAATTACATTATCATGTGCATGCCATATAATTAATGTGAGAGTTATTATTTTATTCATATTCAACTGAAAAAAAAAAATATTAAATAATTTTTTAATTTGTTTATGTGAGACTCGGCATACGTATGTATATGAGAATTGAAGTGGGAGAAGCGGTAATTGATTGATTATTTATTTATAGATTTTCCTCGCTTGGCGCACAGTAAAATTTAATTAAAACAATTGTAACTCAAATGCTGACAATGCTAATCCTTTATTGTCGTGTAGATATACCAAAAGATTAAATAATTCGAAAGAGTAAAAATGCGGTATTTTAAAATATTTTTTGTTGTTTTTGTATTGAGAAATTAATCATGTGAAAAAATGTGAAATTTCGTTATAAATTATAATATTACTTTCGATGTTTTAGTAACGATTGACTTTCTTCGTATTGGCTATCACTTGGTTGACTCAAAAGTCCAGTACCTGCCGGACATAGAGCTAGCAATTCCTTCTAGTTATTTTATATAGTTTATATTAAGGTGTATCTTATGTTTTTATAGACGAAAAACTTGCTGAAAGAAATTCAATAAGCTTCATATTTCCAAAGAATAAAAAAGTCTGTTTTATTAACTCTCGTCTTAAAAATGTGGAATTAAAACATAGGGGCACCAGCAGATTCCGTGAAATGTATTGTAAAACAATCATAATCATAATGAACATAATCGTTCCATGGCATGAGGTGTGTACTCTAAAACAAAGAGATATTATTAGACGTATTAATAGCCTTAATTAGTCTGGGTTAGTTAAGATGTTCTCTCCAAATATAGCAGAATTCTTACTAATTAAGTTAGGAATATTAAACATCGAGACTTTAATATTCTATAGTGCTAAACCCATTTATTTGAACCACACATTACACTTTGAATGAATGTGAGCATATATAGCGTTTTAGTTTTGTTCCATATATTATAAGCAGCAATAAGTGTGTATGAGCAGATCTGTTGCTCTTTATTTCAAGGCATCCACAGAATATGTGTTCACACATTACCACGTCCTAGAAGTTACTGGTCTCTAAAATGTTCATTTTGTTGAGATGATATCTCTACCTGCAATGCCTTGTCAGAAACCCGTTAAACATTTTGATATTTTCTCTAGATGGCACAATATATCTCATAAATCGCAATATACCATAGTCACTTTCATTTCTCCTATCGGGATAGGTGTCTAGGCATGATGTAGCAAGTAAGTTTTACTTACGACAACGGTTCAAAAGTATGTATCAGTTGCTCATAACTTCAGTTGTTATGAAGATTGGGTTGGCTTCGTATGAGTGCTTCGTTATAAGTGTGATTAACACCTAAAGTTACTCAAGAAGTGTGTTGACATTTATGTTTTCCATCAATATGGAGTAACATTTACTCCACTAGGTGTTGTAAGCCAAAGAGCAGCAGAGGTGTAGATGAACTTTGCTTTCAAACAGGGAGAATGTTATATTCATGTATATTACATCTATTGCTGCCGGCGTAGCTTATTTTACTACGGCTATAATCGATGCATTCTCTTGAAACGTGTGTTTAGAACACCATGCTTTTAAGCCATAATGTTAACCAAGTAAAACAATATCGTGATTAAATGAGAGTATACTTAGTTATATTATTATACTTAGTTATTTTATTAAAAACGCATTACCCGCGGATCTAAAGAATTTACTTCTTTCTATTAAATTATTTCGATATATGCTTTAGATTTTAACGTTATCATAACTTAATTCTATATTAAAATTAAACTAAACTCAAAGCCTAAAACGATTTGAATGCCAGAATCTGTTCATATTGTGACAAATTGTGATAACCTACAGTTTTCTATAAAATAACATATTTACTCTGTAAAATGTATGTGATAAAATAGATAGTTGTTATGATTCTGGTAAACCGGTGAAGTGATCAGCGTCACTTGTACTCAATTTGTACAAATTTTTTTAGTACATATAAAATATATTGATCTTGTTCTTTAATAAGATATCTACTGCACTAGATCTAAAGACAATATAAAACTAGTTAATTAGTTAACTAGTTTACTAGGAATATATAATTGCTGACTATACTGCTCTTTCAATTTTATCTAATCCACTATTTAAAAATAACTGAATTTCTTTTTCTTTCCACTATGAGTCACTGAGACAAATCTTCAATTTATTTACAACTCTTTTTTTTAATGAAGTTTCTTATTACTTCACGGTTGTTATAACTGATATAAAACTATTTGATGATGAATTTCCATTACTCATTTTCCAAGTTTTCCTCTACATGAGTAACACTTATGGAACTATATAGTCATTGTTAAACTTAAACCAGCGAAAGTGTTTATAATCTTTGCGTATAGTAGCCTCAGTTAATTACTTACAATAAAAAATATATGATGGGTAGTAAAATAATTATTATTTACAATTTAATAAACTTGTTGGCACTGATTTTAACATCAGGTTTGAGCCAGTATTTCAATAGAGCATAAGTTATTCAATTAAATTTTTATTTTATAATTTTAATTTCGATTTGATTATCTTGGTTTTGTCAATAAGGATCTAGGATAATTAATGTAATTTACTTCTGTATATGCTTTATATTTCTTTATTATATTCTTGAATCCAAATAAGATAGATCACTGCCTATTAGGTATAAATGCAATAATATTTGATCTACCCCATAATAACTTTTGTGTCCTAGCTATGGCTCTACAAAAGATGAGAAAACTTTGTTGCATTTTTTATGGTAGACTTAATATCTTTGGGGTCTATTTTTTAATCGACATAGCTGTCATTCATCAAAATTAGAGATGTATACAGGTTAGTACACTTTTACTTAAATGGGAGAGTCGTACCTTTTTCTACGTTGTCTATGCGGTTACCGTTATGGTTTCTATACCTTATGTTATGTTTTAGACTCCTTTTGGTCTAGCGTATAACCGTAGTATCTTTTATTTGGGAAAAGAACTAAAAATTAAACATATATAATATAATATACATACTATATGTATCAGACATGACTGTCCGGCTTTGATCTAAATAAGGAGAAAATTATTAGACCGGAAGCTCTTCTCTAATCCGATATTAGGAAATTCTCAATGAGAAATATTTGGGTTCAATGAGAAGTGAGAAGTATTAGGGTCAAGTATAAACACAAAAAATCTATTATTAGTTATAATAGAATATACAATACTCTTACATCTGTTTCTAACAGTCACGGTATGAGGTATCATCGTATGAGACGACTAAATAATTTAATGATGCGGTTATATATTTCTCTAATTTTGTTATATGAAAAATATGCCTTCAAAGCTATAAATGGAAATAGTTTTTAAAACTTTAAGATAATATAAGCGCCCTGTTGCTTCTGCGCCCATTAATATTACCTATTGTTGTTTTTGCTTATACCGCTCATGGTTTTAATAATTTATGTACAACAAATAAATGTCAAGTAATTAATTAAAAAAATCATGCATGACGATATTTATTTTAATAAACTAATATTCTTGGATAACAGTTAATCTGAAAAAGGTTAACATATTTAAAATTGCTTTTTTTTTCTATTACACCCACTTTTTATTTAACTATCGTTCTTTTTAAAATCTAATTAAATTGCAATTTTGCTGTCTGTGTATTTATCTATTTACTCAATTCGATATTCAAAGTTTTTTCTCCAATATACCGAATACCAATATCAGTTGGCATAAAGTCGTATATACATATGTATATATATATATATATATATATAAGAAATGTCAATCATTTGTCATAGTTCTGTCAACATAATATCTATTAGTTTATCTGCTTACAGTTTTAAAAAATAGTAACTAATTTATTGTTAAGTAATTTAATATATTAAGCAAAATAAATTAATAGAAATATTCTACATATTGTATCTATTATATAGTTATTATAATCTAAATATGGCTAATACATAAACCTTGTGATATTATCATTGTCTACATTACCATTAGCGGTACAGATAATGTTCTGCATTTCTCTATATCACAATATTTGTTATTGTTGATGTTTTTTTTGCACTGACGTATGTCGGCTTGAAAAGCAAATACATAATAGGATGAAGAAACACTGCAGAATGAGATGGGATAAGTAAATTGATGTATTGTAGGGTAGGAGTAAAAAAAAAGGGCATGTTGAATCTAACCAGAGTTTGGTTAAAGGAACCCTGTAACCTCAAGCTAGTGGATTCGTAGATCAATATAACATTTTTATGTGATTTTGAGTATGAAAACTGGCATTATGAGGAGTAGAGTTCCAGTTGGGGCACATATGGTTAGTGTATTGTCATTGTTTATCAAGTGTATATATTCACTCAAATAGACGAGGATACGTCTTACATTCCCAGAGATTTCAGATGGTGGTTTGTTAAGTACTTTACTGTGAAGAGCAAGAATTTACTGTTGTTAAGAAGAAAATACTATCTCAGTGTAGAATGCTGAAAGCCGTTTCCGATAGTTGACTTTAATGTTTTTATCTCCGTTGCGGTAGCAGCCGATGTGTATATGATACAAAAAAATTGATCAATGTATGTAAACTTCTAGAAGGGCTCTATTCACTCTGGCAACACCACAATATTTCCTAATTGCCTCGCATATGTTTTTGTTATTTTCAATTATTACTTAATCTATTACGTAGATTTGCTTTTTATTTTCTATGTGTAATTTTGAAAGTACAAACTTCTTCAGTGTGATTTTTTTTCAACCGTTTTGTGTTGATACTTGCTAATAATTCATTTCCAGAATTTTGTTCTTTTTTAATATATATATTATGTATATATGAAAATTACATTTAATTCATTATTAGCCCAGTATAGGGGAAGGTCTCTAAATTATGCATCTACAACTTTCATCTTCATCTATTTTATTCGCCACTCTAGTAAAATCAACAAGGGTATATTAGAGTTAAGAATGATGTATTGGAGAACATCATTGGAGAAGTCGTATTGAATAAAATGAAATGAAATTAAATGAAACCAATAACAGGTAAAAACTCAGACAGACATCTCGCCAATGATTATATTTATTATGAAAGAAATGTAGCACCACAATCTTCACATCCAATGTGCCCTCTTCATGATGTTAGAGTAAATCTCTCAGTCCTATTTAAGTAATCACTTAATTTATTAACTGTCCTATTTTATTGTGTTATAATTCCTCATCGAACGTTAGTATTCATGTGTTTCTTTCGTTTGTGTTTTAGTGTATCGTTTCTTCTTAACTTGTAGTTTGAGGACTTCTCTTCCGTTTTACAAAATTCACAGTTTCCAAAAGGTCAAATAAACGTTATTTTCAAAAATAAAATAGAATTAATGCAGAATTATATAGAATTTATGAAAAGTTCATATGTTTTTTTGTGAAATAAATATATAAATGCAAAGAATTACAGTAACAGACTTTGTATTTTCCATCTAATTTTAGAAGAAATTAAACAATATATTTAATTTTAATGTTTTATTATTATTAGGCACACTTAAAACTATTCGCTCTTCATAGATGTTTCTTTGCAAATTTCTTTAGCATAAAAATTGTTTAGTTTAATTTTTCAAATTCTTAGAACTGAGTATCTTAAAGATACTTTCCTTTGCACTATTAAATGTGTAGTCTGAGCGAATATGCTGATGCTCCAATATAATTTTTTAATTTTAATTTTGTTTATCTTAACCAATACAATCAACTGATTGTATGTTTAAAAAATACTTTCAATTGAAGTATTTTTTTTAACATTCTTCCACGGTTTACGATAAAAATTGTTTACATCTGTCAAATTGGATTTGATATATCTGCCAAACGCACAACCTAAAGCGTCGGTGTGATTAATAAAAGTAAAATATGTTGCTTGAAATATTTATGAAAAATATTTTTATAAATATATTGAAAATATTTTTTGTTTATATTAAATTGAGATTTAATATAATTAGAGCTTTTACGCTGAAAAATGTTTACTACAATAAACAACCACTGAACTGAACATGAATTCGTGTTTATGTATAAGTTTGTTTATTTATAAATACTTTATCTGATAATAAAAGTAAAATTTTTAACTTCTCTTTATCTCTCATGAATAATTAATGGACTAAAATAAAAACAAAAAACAAAAAAAAACAAGTCTTTCGATTATCGCCACTTGACTAATATTCCCCCCGATATCGCTAAATTTAGATACTTTTTCTATTTGTTTAAAGTTTTAGAATTAAAGGAAGTGACAATGATTTTGCATATATTTTTCATATTAAAAAATACAAAATCTTATATTGTCATTTCACATTTTATGCAGAGATTCTCAAACTTTTTTAATTTGCCTTACTAAATTCTTATTATTAAAAAAAAATACGTTCAAACTTTGATTGAATATTAACTTTAATGTTTCTTTGAAACAATGGGTTATTAGGTTATTTTCAAAATACATTCAAAATGTATTAAGATAAGTTTATATTAATACTTCAAAGTGCTCGAGGATTACGATGTACGACGATGCTACAGTATCTACACTTCAAATGCTTCTAATGCTGAACAGATAAGGCATCCGACTTGTCACAGTGTTTCTTACGACATTGCGGAATCAAAAAGCATCTATCAAACCTAGGTATTACAAGAGACGATAGCTGCAAACTTTGTCACGAAGAAGAGGAAACAGCAGTAGATATTCTGTATCACTGTGATAGTCTCGCTAGACTCAGAGTTCGGTATTTATCAACTGCCTGTCTACTTATATCGAAATTAGGACATGATGGCATTTTTAACTGCTACTAAAGCGGATTTGTGACAATAATCCTCAGAGGATGCAGTGACGTGGTGACAACTTCCCAAACCTTTCAAAATCTTTCTATCTATCTAATCTATCTATACTTCAATGTTATCTTAGAAAAAAAACTAGATTCATTAGATTTAAATAATTAAACGGGCTTTTGTTTGTTAACCTAGACTTCGTCATGAAAAGCTACACATGACATAAAAGTCTTTTGATATACTGATATACACCAGTGACTATAGTGAAATTGCATTAAACGTCGTAGTAATCATGTGAACCCTGTTAATACGGTCATTATGGAAAATTTTACAGACTTAAAAGTTTTTCTAACTGTTAACTGTTAGTTAAAAAGAAATAAAAGTGAGTGTTACTTTCAAAAATCTACAAGGACACATTTTGGCGTTCCCTTAGGAATACATCCAAGAAAGTCTCAACTCGGGCTAAACGTCCGATTTTTCACCTTATTTCATTTCTTTAGTTCCATTTAGAACAAGTCAAGTGACAAAGAGAAGATTTACCAATAATCATTCTGTTGTACTTTAAACAAAAATGGGGTTTCACTATAAAAGTTTTGTAGGTTGCCTGGTTTTCCATGTGGTTGAGAAATGAGGTGTACCCAAAGAAAAAAGTAAAGGTGATAGCTGTTAGCTGTAACTCTATTATATCAATATTTATATTTTCCTTTAATGTTTTTGTCTTCTTTTTCCAATTTCCACTTAGCTTCTTAAAAAAACTTTGATTTTATATTGGAGCATTGAAGAATTTTAATTATCGCTTGGTTGTTGATGAAACTGTGAACACTACATCTGTCTATGATGTTACCTACAATAAAATGTATTCCTAATTGCTAAAATCTGAGAAGCTGTACTTTCATTAGGTTGCGTTTTAGTATTTTGTTATATTTTTTAAAGATCTTAATAGTTTATACTAGAGCTAAGCGTCTACACATGAGGCTGCATCAAGTTCTACTAGTTTTTTAATTCGTAGGAGTCCATCGTACATTTGATTCCAGAGCTCAATTGAACTATAAACTGACAATTTACCTGTCACTGAAATTGTTTTGAATGCAGTGCGAACAAGTATCGATTCCTTAAATATTTAGTTTTAATTCAACTATTGTCGTTCATCGGTTCTGCAAACGGTAAGCAGATATCGGATATCCAAATAAACAATAACCAATTCCTGTTGACTTGTTACGTGAGTCTATAAGTTAGTTTGTTATTCTCATTTATGGCAGAAGCAGGAGTATATATGAAGTGTTCTACCAAACAGACATCGATCATCAGCGTACTCATTCCAGTTACATCAGCAGGGGGATATAACTCAACTTTTGTTTACAACAATAACTACTTTTTGAAGAAAAAAAAACAAGAGATTTGTTGTATAAGTCTTTGCATTTTTTTGTTCTATTTGATTTTAATCTCTCTCTCAGACAGTGTCTATCATATAATATGCGTTCATATTGTCAATAACTTTTTTTCTTATAAATTATAATAAGCAATAATAATCAATTAATTTCGTTTTATATTCAATTTTCCAGACAATTCATTTCAAGAGAAGAAACTGATATCGAACACTTGGAGCAACGTTTGGAAAAAATCATTAAATTATGCAACGTAGCAGTGGATTCGGGGAAGGAGTACATAAAGAATCAAAGGTACTATTTGCTGAGTTCGCATTAAATCTCGCATTTGATAATAATGATTCATTTTTTTTCTCATTTGTTTACAAAGCTAAAGTTTTTTTTTTTTGATGTCGCCGTTGTTTTTCTTTCTTTATTTTAATTTTTTTATTATAAAATTTTTATATCAATTCTGCAGCGTTAATGTGTGTTTATTCGTTGCTATATTTTTAGTGCTTTTGCCATGTCCTTATGGGACTTACAACAACATTTTGCTGATAATAAAAATGCTCACAATGCATTGGGAAAGCTGATACACTGCTTTCAGGTTCGTTTCAACTTGTCAACAATATTCGTTATTCGATTTTGTTTTGATTTTTTATTTTATGCTCATTTCTGTTTTGTAGGAGATGAATAAGTTTCATACCACATTGTTGGATCAAGCTAGTCGGACGGTGCTCAAGAATTTAAGTGTTTTTATTAAAGACGACATCAATCAAGTAAAAGACTATAAAGGCCATTTTCTGAAGGTTTCGGAGGGCTACGACAATGCTCTAATTAAGAACGCTCAAGTAAGTTTAGTTTAATATATTTAAATAAATTAATTATTTGACTAAAAATAAAATTTATTCTTCTAAGGCAAGTAAAAATCGACCACAAGAAGTACAGGAAGCTGCTAACATTTTATCAGCAACAAAATCTTGCTTTCAACACACAGCTTTGGATTATGTAAATTATATAACATTAGTGCAGTCCCGAAAAGTACCATCAATATTATCTACGGTGAGTGTATATGACATTTGTGTATATATAAAGGAAGGTGATCCTGAACTAATGTATTATCATTCAGTATATATAATACTGAAATGTAAATGTGTTATCGTCATAGTACTTATTGTTTGTTATTGTATATGGATTATGTTATTATAAACACTGCGTTCACCATGGTAGTGAATATGGTGCATCAGCACTTGTATATGCATATGATTCATCTACATAACGCAGTGAAACTAGTATCATACTATTGATACTAATTAACATGCGCTTGCAATATTTAGTGATGTAGACAGCTTTAAATTTGCGCGTCTCCATATCAATATTCATTCAAAAACGAGTGTAATTTGGATATCTCCTAGCATCTACATTAAGTTAATCCAAAGACAAATTGAAGCAAAAAGTGATTACCCTAGCGAATCTTAAAGACAATGCAACAACGAAAGAAAATAAGCTGTAAATATTATAAAATAATAAATGCACTGATCGGTTACTAATGACACTTATGGCTTCAAAAAATATGGAATTAAAGTATTAATTATTATGTTAAAAACGCAAAGATCAGACCAATGGAGTCTTATGATTAACAGCACCTGTATCTTCAGAAAATATGAAATTAAAATTAAATTAGAATTAGAATAAAATTATAAGATCAAATTAATTATACTTTATCGACCCAATCAGATATCCACTAAAACTGCATATGATGTAGGTATTAAATTAGAATTATAATCTAAAACATTACGATCAAACTAATCGTACAATATTGACTATTAGTCTTCTGCTTATCCTACATATGCTATAGGTATTGAATTCTTAAAAATTCCCAAATAGTACATAAAACCATAAGGAACTTCTATTGAATTCTAGCAGATGTAATTAGCTCGATTTCACTTCGATTATTCATATAAAGACGCAACCGGGCATTTATTCTCCATGTGCTACGTAAATGCGTAGGTTTTCTGCTAACTTGAGGTTCATATTTAGGAATTTTTTTTAGTGATATCTTCTGTCAGTCTGCAAAGATGGTCTAAACCATTTATATTTTCCATTCATTATATCTTCAGTAATTGAAGGAGTATTCTTTTCAAGATAAAACTTTTATACCAATCAGTTCTTAAACATTTCTTCATGTAACATCTCTCACAGAAATAGTTTATTTTTTTCGCGTCACGAAAACACCAAATATCGGCGACCTCCAAACCGAAACAGTGCCTTCATCGAAACCACAATTGTTTTGGAACATATTACTTAATACACTTTCACATGCAATCTCTAGGAATACAATACGTCTCATTCATGTAGCAAGTAGTGTTGCTTTCTTATTAAGGTAATGATATAGCCACGTTCTAAACAGTTGCTTGTCACGTATAAATGTTCAATTTTTGTACACATGCTCAAACTACAGCTCTTCTAATCACATCGCTTGTTTATTTAGCTTTTTCAACTTTAACTATTCATAATTTAAACTCCATTGGTTTATATCTTCGTCCATTAGAAATGCCAAAACTCTTTCAGATTGGCCAGGCTAGTTTCAAATTACAACCTTCCGCCTACACCTATATTCTTATATTGCATATCAGTAATACCCCATATACTTTAGTCACAATACATATATTAATCTTTTTTTCAATTCTACAGATATCTTCACATCACGACAACGATAGAAAAAAAACGACTACCTATGGTAGAAAGTACTGTTTTTTTCACTTAAGATCAGGGTATAGCCACGATCTGATAATTACTATTTTTTTATTTCTGGCATATGCCACATACTCAGATCGAAACTTATTGAAGTTATTCATTTATTCATTTACTATTCATTTACTAATTGATCTTATGACTCTATCTCGCCGGTATAACAAGATTCTTGAACTTTGATATAGACTAGTTCAAATCTCATCAACCTGTCTCTTATACCTGTTTAACATACATGGCATGCTGGCGTATTAAATAATTAAATTATTTAATTTATTTTATTAAGTTGCAAGAATTAATAAATTTTTAATAGAATTAAGAGAATAATACTCACTGTATAATAGATCAGCTCGGTCACAAAGTAATCCAAAAATCAGTTTTAAAATAGATTTGAACCGATTTATGATACTAATATTAAATTTACTGAATTTCATTTAGAGAAAAAAGCTAAACTGATTCATCTGTAGATTATTTGTTATATTAAATTACGTTGATTAGTTCAGGATAGCCTTAGAGAACGACCAAGGATATATTTGATCTCATTCATTAGTTATACATTCTATAGTCATTCAATGGTTATAGTTGTATTTTAAAATAATAGTTTAGTTTTATATAATTACACTGAAGTTCTTGAAGTTAGAAGTTCTTGAGCTTTGCATTGTATATCAACTATTTGCTTAAAGTACTAAAAACGATCGGGACTAAGTTGCGTAACCGCCCATCTACAACGATCAACTGCCGCTAAACGCTTTTATAAAAGTAAAATATATATATTATGAAATAAATTGGACTATTTTAAGATTCTTATTGTTAATAAGTAAACTCTTTGTATGTCGTTTCGTCATCCTTGTCAACTCTAAAAATCGTTTAGCAACACTGGATCGTTGTGGTTTTTTTTTAAATAAATTTTATATTCCACATTACGATCATAATGACTGATCACGATATCCTATTTTCGAAAGACTTAGTTGGCTGCATTTTGAAAGTAAAAATACTTCGCGATTTGCGATTTGCGATTATTATATGGCATAACATTTGTTGCTAACAGTTAGTCATCTTTAGCAGTATGACACATACTTCGATGTTCGATGTGTAATAAATTGGAGTAGTTGTTTGCCTACACAAACACTTTGATATACCATAAAATTTAGTTTTTATTTATTTATAAAATTTTAGCAAAGCACATGCGTTTATCAGTACTTTTATGTAATAATATTTAATTTAAATTAATTAATTAACTAAAAATAATTAAATTATATTATATTATTTTATTTTTGTATTAATTGGATTAATTAAAAATTTGTAATTTTTCAGTTGCTCGACTACTATCAGGCGTGTGTTACTTACTATCATCAAGGATTCGATTTATGCAATGATTTTGATGAGTTCTTCAAAAACATTTCCGAAGATTTGAATTGTTTACGTGGTGATTATCAACAACTGGAGAAAGAAATGCAGAATCGTCATATGAGCGTCAACAGCTTCAGCGATACGAACACAAATAGCACTTCGAATAAAATTGAAGGTTATCTATTCAAAAAGAAATCGAAAGGTTTTAAAACATGGTGCAGACGTTGGTTCTATTTAAGTGACAATCAATTGGTCTACAGGTAAGCACAATAGTGTTGAAGAGCATGCGTAGTTGTTAATTAATTTTTCCTATTAATACGACTAATGTGAGTGATGCATGACCTAGTGTGGTTCTAAACCATAATAACAATGTTGGCGTCTTGTTTGCAGTTGAGAATCATAAAAATTTGTTATCTTGCTAATCCACATTTGGGTTTGAATGCCAATTAACTAGTAATGTTTTTCCGTCCTTCTGTACTATATATGCTAATTTTTTTTTTTTGTTGTGAATAATTGTAGTTGTTGTTTTGTTGTCTTGTTTTGTTTCGTTTCGTTTCGTTTGATTTAAAACTTAGAAAAAATTAAAGTAATTATAGTTTAATTTAAATTAATTTAATTTGAATTGCTTCTTCATTAGTGTGTTTCTAATTTTTGCGTTTTTATGTATGTTGTGTCGTGCTTTTTTGTTTTTGTGTTGTACTTGTAATCGCTGAAGTGATTTGGATTCGCATTACAGAAAACGTTGTAATGAGGATTCTTTCTCTGTGATGGAAGAGGATTTACGTATATGCACAGTTCGGCCGGTTAACGATGGCGATCGACGTTTCTGCTTTGAGGTTATCTCACCAACAAAGTAAATCAATTATATTTATTATGCTTAATTAAATGAAAAAAAAAAAAATTAATAATTAATTAACAACTAGATCTCACATACTACAAGCTGATTCGGCTGATATGCTTACACTATGGATTTCCGCTTTACAAAAGAGCATAGGTGCAGCAATACAACATGATAGTCAAAATTCCAGACCACATTCATCGTTAGCGGCAAATGCATTAAATTCCAAGCGAAAAATGTAAGTTAATTATTAAAAGCATATATTACTTATTATTAATGTATTGGATTTCTTTAATCTATAGACACTGGGAGCAATTTTTAAAAATACCAGGCAATTCAAAGTGTTGTGATTGTCGTGGCATTGATCCACGTTGGGCTTCCATTAATTTAGGCATCACATTGTGCATTGAATGTTCTGGTGTTCATCGTAGTCTTGGCGTACATTATAGTAAAGTACGTTCACTCACGTTGGATGCTTGGGAGACGGAAAATGTGAAAGTCATGATGGAGTTGGGTAATGATGTTATTAATCGTATATATGAAGCACGTATTGGTGAACACTGTGAACTGAAAGTGCCGACAGAGAACTGTGAAATCAGCGTAAGAGAGGCTTGGATTAAGGCGAAATATGTAGAGAAACGTTTTGTTTGTGCAATGCCTAAACCACATGAGTTGCTTGCTAGTGAAACTGCAGAAATACTATCCATTGATAGTGGCGGCGGTGAAGGCAGTAGCATACATAAATTAGATACTACAAGTTTATGTAAAACGTTATCTTTAGGTGCGCGAAAATGGGCAGTGAAAAAGTATCGCAGACGTGGTCATAGAAAACGCAAGCGTTCCAGTTCAAAATCTGATGAGGATGATGATAATGAATCTCTAGATATACCTTCAATGTCGTTGAGTATATCACGTGAAGACTTACTTGTTATTGGCGAAGAATTAACAACAGAGTGTCTTTCAATGCCAGCTATTCTTGGTTCAGATCAAGAATCTACAGAAGGCGAAAATGAACCAGAAGTGCTGGATGAAATCCCATTTTCGAAATTAGATGCAAATCTTATGTTGTATAAAGCGTCAAAAGTACATAATTTGCCCGTCATGTGCATGGCTTTTGCTTTGGGTGCTAATAAGCATTGGAGAAATGTGAGTGATTTCAATCGCACTTTTCTACATCAAGCCGTTTTGTCTGTGAGTGAAAAACATTTTTGATGTTATACACATATTAACATATATGAATTATATGAATTGTTTTTTACATCTCTTGTAGGGTTCAGTTATGGCTTGCGAATATTTACTTCTAAATGGTGTACCGATTGACGCAGTCGATGATAATGGTTTAAGTGCACTGCATATGTCTACAGATAAAGGTTACATCGCACAAGTGTATTTACTATTGAAACATAAAGCAAAATATGACACTGAATCAAACGATGGTAAAAAACCTTTGGATATTGCAGTTGATCAACGTAATGCCGATATTGTCACACTGTTAGTACACATTTCGGTTTATAATTATGTATATAAATAATAATAATAATATTTACTTAAAAATTTGTAGTTTACGTCTGACGCGTCTTAACGATGAAATCGGACTTAACGACGAAGGTAACGGAGAAGATGAAACTTACAAAGATGTGATGAAAGATTTTTCGCACTTTGCAGCAAGTCAACCACGTATGTTGCGAAATCGTAATGATACAAATACACTCGAATCACAACGTTCCTCATTAACGAATTCAGATTAGTTTTAACCAGCTGAAATAGTAAAATGTATTAAAGATCTGCATATCGTTGTTAGGCAAAGAAAATAAAGCACTGAAAATGAACAGGAAATTATTTGCATATATACATACGCCAGAGTGATTGACGTTTAGTTTTATTTATAACTGCTTTAAATATAAAATAATTCAATAATTTTACATGTTATTGTATGCTTCGAAATCATTCGTATTGTTAAATATTGACAAAAAAATTATATATATATTAATAAATTAATTGTATAAAAATATATTTATTATTGTATATTGTTTATATTTGTTTTAGGCAAAATTATGTTGCATTTTTAAAACAATTTATTTTGTACTTGTTATGGAGCATTTGTTTGAATTTAAATTTTAATACATTATATTTGAAATTAGTTTTTAACAAAATTAAAATACAGATATTCTGATTTCATGTTTATTAGTGTGAGTCTTTTGTAATGAATGCAAAAGCTTCATACGACAATTTAGTATACATTAAAGTAGTTATTTAAATATTCATTAAATAAAATTTTTTTATATAATTTAAAAATTGATTTTATTTCAATTTAATGTATTTTACATTTATACATTAGATCTTATATAAATTATTAAACAAATATATGTTAATATGAACATACTGTTAATAAATAAGTATATAAATTTTTGCATAATTGTAAAGTTGTTAAAATTTAAAACAAATACTTAAATAAAAATAATTGAAATATTCACTTATATGAAGATATGCTTTATAAGACTCTTATGATATTTTTGCATTTCCATTAATATATTCGAATAGAAGTGAAAAAGAAAAATATACCTTAATTCATACATAAAATACAGTAATTAATGTTTTAATTAAACATAAATTTATTTAAAATAAGACTACATATTTACAAGTAATGAGATATGATTGATTAAATGTAGAGTGAGAAAAACGATTGTTTGTGATAAAAGAAAGATTATGGTGCGGGTGGGATAATAATTGAAACTAGCCACACTTGAGCGTTTAGGAAGAATCTAACCGCTTTATTTGGTACGAGCCAAAGATTAATACGGCTTCAATTAATTTTTATTATATTACTTCAAATGTGTGATTACATATGAAATAGAGCTGGATGTGACGCACATATCGAAAAGTGACATATTTCTGCGTAGGGACTGTTTAGCACGTGGCTAAACTATGACCTAGTTAGACTAGGAGACATTACTATATGAGAAAGCGTATTTGATGCAATTATTAATAATTCACACATAACATTAGTAGTTTGGATAATGGGGAAAGATGCAAAATAAGACTTTAGATGGATCAGAATGGAAAAATTTTGTTTCCAATGTCTTGTTTTTATCAAGATATCTTCTAACTAAAGAAAGAAATCAAAAATTTAACATTGAAAAAAATCACGATAGGGAGCACGTCGGCTTAGATATAAATTATAATTTTAACTTAAGACTTACTTAAAATAATATAATCGAATTAACATATTCGTATATATTTATATAATAGTAATGCTCTAAATGTTAGTAATGGTCTTGACTACTTATTATACGCATAAAACAAAAAAAAAAAATTAAAACATGTCAGATGCTCAAGTTCTCTTCTAGAGATTGAACGAATGTCAGTTTTGCAGATGATGATGTGATGTGAATTAGAATGCCGATGTTTTATTATTTAAATAAGAAACTAACAATGTACTGTGTTATTTTATTTTTATTTACATAATTATAATTCAGATTTCAGAGAAACGTGTTAATTTCGTAATATACATATTTATAAGTTATTTATAATTATTAACGATTATTAATTTCAGTCCAAGATATCATCATTGCAATTAATTTGCACTTCTATTGATTCTGTCTCTTCTTTCAAGGGTTTCGGCTCTCCATGTACAGTTTGAACGTG